CAAGCGACTCAGGGGGTTGAGGTGGGAGGATTGCTTAAGCCTAGGGGTTCAAGGTTGCAGTGAACGATGATTGTGCCACTGCACTCCAGCCTGGGCAACACAGCAAGATCCTATCTCTAAAAAAAAAATTAAATCTTATGAAGTTAAAAAAAAACAGTAAGCTAATCTTAATTTATTATTGATTGAAGAAAGAGAACATTTTAAATAAATGCAGTGTATTCTAAGTGCACAGTGTTTATAAAGTTTACAGTAGCTTACAGTTATGCCCTAGGCCTTCATATTCACTCACCACTCATTTGCTGACTCACCCAGAGCAACTTCCAGTTCTGCAAGCTCCATTCTGGCAAGTACCTTATACAGGTGGACCATTTTTGATCTCTTATACCATATTTTCACGGTGCCTTTTCTATGTCGAAGTACACAGTACTTACCATTATACTTTAGTTGCCTGCAGTATTCAGGACAGTAACATGCTATACAGGTTTGTAGTCAAGGAGCAACAGGCTGTATTATACAAGCCTAGACGTGTAATAGGCTATACCATTGAGGTTGGCATAAGTATCCTTGATGATGTTTGCACCATGATGAATTCTCCTAACAACACATTTCTCCAAACTCATCCCCATCATTAAGTGACACATGACTGCAATGGAAGAGAATGAATAAGTGGATAAGATTATTTGAACTTGCTGTCTAACTTTGTGTAGGTAAAAGAGGTTTTTTGTTTTGTTTTTTTTTTTTAAATTTTACCCGTTGTTTGGGGTCATATAGTATTTGCCAAGTGTTTATTAGTATACTGTCTGAAATACAGAACAATATCCATTCCTCAAGAATTACAGGAGGAAAACATAGGTGCTCAGTGGATTACCTGAAAGTCACATGTTTCCATAAAATGCAGCCCTGCCCTGCCTTACAAGTTCAAGATGGGCTCTTTGTGATGATTGCACTGAGTCTCCTTTGAGATTTGTGAGTCCCAGCTTAGTGACAGCATGGACTTCTCCCCTTAATGACCTTCAGAAATGCTATAACGATGTGGCCCATGTAGTATTCTGTTCTCACAGTGCTAACAAAGACATATCGAAGACTGGGTAATTTATAAAGGAAAGAGGTTTAATGGACTCACAGTTCCACATGGCTGGGAAGGTCTCACAATCATGGTGGAAGATGAAGGAAGAGCAAAAGGGTTTCTTACATGGGGGCAGGCAAGAGAGCCTGTGCAGGAGTAAAACCATTAGATCTCGTGAGATTTATTTATTACCACAAGAACAGCATGAGAGAAACCCAACCCTGTAATTCAACTACCTCCCACTTGGTCCCTCCCATGACACGTGGGAATTATGGGAGCTACAATTCAAGATGAGATTTGAGTGGGTCACAGCCAAACCACATCAGCCTGTAACCACAGCTCCACCACACGGCTGATAAAAGTCAAGAGATGTGAATGGAAAGGGGCTGGCGACCCCTAAAACTGCACACCCAGCAGCAGAACAGCTGTCTGCGAGGTGCTCTTTCTGTTCATGACCAAATGCAATGATTCTACTCAATGACTGCAAGCCATTCATGACCATTTATAGCACTTACTGCTTATACTGGTACTTTTGGGAAAACTTATGCTATCCAACATTATATAGTCAGGTTTTTTTCATGTCCAGAAATTTGATTATAACACCAATTTGCCAAATACAATTATAAATTCCTTAAAGGTAGAGATTAACAGAGGGATCAATTCAGGAATACCCAATGGATGTTCCTGGCCAGTAAGATTGGCCTCATTATTTTAGTCTTTTTCTTAACTGAATTAAGCAATTTGCTAGGCAAGGGTTAAAAAAGCTGGGCCATGTTCATTTGTCAAATGAATGTGTATATCTAAACAGAATGTTAAAACAGAGCTATTTAGTCCCTGTGTTGGGCTGAGATCCACAGATATTAAATAGTACATTCCAAAGTAAAGTTTAAGGACACCAGGTAGGATTAAAAAAAAAAAGCAGCAGCAGCAAGAAGGGTTTCACTCCTCTCTCACACATCAAGCATACAGAAGGATCAATAATTAGAAAATTAGAAGATGTTGGGAGAAGACATTTGCCATGAATCCCCTCCATGACAGGTGGAAGAGGCAGGGCATATCTGCCCTCATCTGCAGCCCAGGGTAAAGGGCTTCACCAAAACCCACAGAAGTATTGATTTATGTCTGCTAAGAATTGATGGACATGGTGACACCTGAAAATCTTAAGGATGAGAGAACTGTGGCCCACTGCTCTGGTGACATGCAAGAAAAGGTATCTGTGTCAGCGTGGGGCTTTGCACCCAAAGTTTGTGGAGGCAAACAATGGAGCTTCTGTGGGCCACATGCAAGAGAGAATCAGTACAGGTTTGGTTTGGATCCAGCCCAAGAGGGCTGCCCAACAGAGACAGATGACTTCAACAAAAAGTGTGTTGCTAATTCTCAAAGCTGAGGAAGATCCATCACAACCAGCCAGAGGGTGTGGTGCCACCTGTATAGAGGCATCCACAGGGCAAGATCCCAGCGCTAGAGTACGAGGGTTATCCAAAGGGCCCACAAATGAGGACCTGAGGGAGGAGAGCAGCTCCCAACACCTGCCAGACTCATAAACACAACAACTCACACCAACATTCCTTAGCTCTTTCCCCACCTCCTGACCTGCCCACCTGAACCTTGTAGGAAGCAAACATTCAGGCTGGCTCTAAGATGCACAAAGAGAAATAAACGAAAGTGAAGGAAAAAGAAACCATCTTCCCCTATTTCACCACAGGCAGCGGGCTTGTATGGGGCCAGAACTGGGAAAGGGGAGGAATTGTAAGATGAAATGAAACATGTTTGATTTTACATTGGGCTGGTTATATAAATTAGTGACTAGTGGCCCTTTATGACTTGGAAATGACCAGAAAGTCTTGAGATTTGTTTTGTATTTGCCCTAGGGAAACAAATGTAAAAGCACAAGAATATTCTTTCTGCTCCATGGGGTCTGCTTTTTAGCATAATAGTCACGTTTCTATTTCTTCAAGGAATTCGAGCCTATCATTCACCCTCCCCACCACCCCACAGTGCCTTCAATGATTAGAACAAATGGATCCCATAACTGATAGTTTAGACTAACTGGGGTGAAATTAGCTGAACCAGGAAAGTGAACATATTTTATTTTTTGCATATTTGTTTATTTATAAAATTCATAGTGTGCTATTGTATTGATATATATTCATTATGAAATTCAAAATCAGAAAGTAAAAAGATGAGATTTGAAAATGCAAAGGGAAGTTCTGCTATTCAGGACACCCCACCTTGGAAGCTATTGCCGTAAAGTGACGTCCTTTGACTCAATAAAGAATTTTCCTTGGCTATTTTCCAAAATGGCGTACTAATTCACATTCCCTCTAATAGTGTACAAGGGTTCCCTTTTCTCCACATCCTCACCAACCTTCACCTTTGGGGGTATTTTTTAACTTTTATTTTAAGTTCAGGGGTACATGTGCAGGTTTGTTGCATAGGTAAACTTGTGTCACGGGGTTTTGTTATACAGATTATTTCATCACCCAGGTATTAAGCCTAGTACCCATTAGTTATTTTTCCTGATCCTCTCCCTCCTCCAACCCTCCACCCTCTAATAGGTCCCAGTGTCTGTTGTTCCTATGTGTCCATGAGTTCTAATCATCTAGCTTCCACTTAGAAATTAGAACGTGCCGTATTAGGTTTCCTCTTCCTGCATTAGTTTGCTAAGGGCCTCCAACTCCATCCATGTTCCTGCAAAGGACATGATCTCATTCTTTTTGGTGGCATCATAGTATTCTATCATGTATATGTGCCACATTTTCTTCATCCAGTCTGCCATCAATGGGCATTTAGATTGATTCCATGTCTTTACTATTATGAATAGTGCTGCAACGAACATACGCATGCATGTGTCCTTATAATAGAACAATTTATATTCCTTTGGGCATATACCCAGTCATGGAATTGCTAGTTTGAATGGCAGTTCTGTTTTTAGGTCTTTAAGGAATTGTCACACTGTTTTTCACAATGATTGAATTAATTTACACTCCCACCAACAGTATATAAGTGTTCCTATCTCTCTGCAACTTCACCAGCACCTATTATATTTTGACTTTTTAATAACAACCATTCTGACTAGTGTGAGATGGTATTTTATTGTGGTTTGGATTTCCATTTCTCTAATGGTCAGTGATGTTGAGCTTTTTTCATATGCTTGTTGGCCACATGTATGTCTTCTTTTGAAAAGTGTCTGTTCATGCCCTTTGCCCACTTTTTAATGGCGTTGTTTTTCTTGTAAATTTAAGTTCCTTATAGATGCTAAATAGTAGACCTTGGTTAGATGCATAGTTTGCAAAAATTTTCCCCCATTCTCTAGGCTGTTTACTCTGTTAATAGTTTTATTTGTTATGCAGAAGCTCTTTAGTATAATTAGATCCCATTTCTCAATTTTTGCTTTTGTTGCAATTGCTTTTGTCATCTTCATCATGAAATTTTTGCCCATTCCTATGTCTAAGATGGTATTGCCTAGATAGTCTTCCAAGGTTCTTATAGTTTTAGGCTTTTCATTTAAGTCTTTAATTCACTTATATGGTATAAAGAAGGGGTCCAGTTTTAAGAAAAAGATTCCCTCTCTTATCACTTCTATTCAGTATAGTATTAGAAGTCCTGCCCAGAGCAATCAGGCAAGAGAAAGAAATAAAGCCTATCCAAATATGAAGAGAGGTAGTCAAACTATCCCTGTTTGCAGATGTCATGTTCCTATATACAGAAAACCCCACAGTCTTGGCCCAAAAGCTCCTTTAGCTGATAAACAACTTCAGCAAAGTCTCAGGACACAAAATCAGCATACAAAAATCACTTAACCTTCCTATACACCAAAAAAAAAAAAAAAAATCAAGCAAAGAGCCAAATCAGGAACATGTCATTCACAATTGCCACAAAAAGAATAAAATACCTAGAAATACAGCTAATCAGGGAAGTGAAAATTCTCTACAAGGAGAACTACAAAACACTGCTCAAAGAAATCAGAGATGACACAAACAAATGAAAAACATTCCATGTTCATGAATAGAAAGAATCATTATCATTAAAAGGGCCATACTGCTCAAAGCAACTTATACATTCAATGCTCTTCCTGTCAAACTAACAATGATATATTTCACAGAACTAGAGAAAACTATTTTTAAAATTCATATGAAACCAAAAGAAGACCCAAATAGCCAAGACAATTCTAAGCAAAAACAACAAAGCTGGAAGCATCACGTTATCCAACTTCAAACCATACTATAGGGCTATAATAACCAAAACAGCATGGCACTGGTACAAAAACAGATATTTAGACCAATGGAATAGAATAGAGAGGCCAGAAATAAGACCACTCACCTACACCTATCTGATCTTTGACAAAGCTGACAAAAATAAGCAATGTGGCCAGGTACAGTGGCTCATGCCTATAATCCCAGCACTTCAGGAGGCCAAGGGGGGTGGATCACCTGAAATCAGGATTTCAAGACCAGCCTGGGCAACATGGTGAAACCCTGTCTCTATCAAAAATACAAAAATTAGCCAGGCATGGTGCTGCATGTGTGTAATCCCAGCCACTCAGGAGACTGAGGCAGGAGAATCACTTGAACCTGAGACGCAGAAGTTTCAGTGAGCCGAGATCATGCCACTGCACTCCAGCCTGGGTGGCAGAGTGAGACTCTGTCTCAAAAAGTAGAATAAGCAATGGGAAAAGGACTCGTGTTCAATAACTGGTGCTGGAATAACTGGCTACCCATAGACAGAAGATTGAAACTGAACATATCTTTTTTCTTTTGAAGGACACACTCAATACCTACCAGGAAAAAAAAAGTCTTAATAATTCTTCATATGTCAAATTACAGATTTTTAAAATAAGTCAGCCAAAGTCACACTAAGAAGTTCAGTTTTTACCCTTGTCTAAAACCAAATGTCTCCTTCAGCAACATTTGTATATATAAATGGTTGTTTGTTGTTGGCATTTAAAAGCACAAAATTGGGAGAAAAATTATGTGTTTGTTTCATCAATGACTGTCTAGATTAAGTCCAGGGAGGACGAAATGAAAAAGAGTCAGTTAGAAAAGCTCCAGGCTGTGCCAGATCTCCAGCTCACTTTTGCCAGCACAGTGAGCCCCTGGCCTGCAGCAAACTTGGAACTGGGTTGGGGCAGGAGAGGCAGCCTCTCGCTAGAGGGTAGAGGTGCCAGTGGGCTTGCAGCAGTTGCAAAGACCTCTGTGCTGCAATTGCAAAGGCCTATGATTTTGGAGGTTGGTCCTGGCCCCACTGGAATCAGAAAAAGTCTCTTGGGAAACAAACCCCACTACCATCTCTTCTCCAGCAGTTGTGACCCAGAGCATCCATATGACTTTAATGTTAAAATTATGTTAAAGTCAGGAAAACTGTGAGCACCCTGTGCAGACAAGCCAGGCAGCCCTCAGATGTTGGAGTGGGGAGGACCTTAAAGGTCATCTTGTTTAACAGGTTCAATCTCTTCCGCACTCCCCTGGATGGTGACGCTTACCAAAGCTTGACACACTTCTCTGTCAAGTCACACCCAGGTGGTTGTGATCTTTACTGCATCAAGATTTTCCACCCATGTAAGAAAATTTGAGCACAGAAAGGACATGAATAGAAGAATAATTAACCCCTCCTTCACACTTAACACAGTCATCGCCCAACAACAAAGTGCCTGTACTTGAATCACAACTCCTTCCTGACAAATCTCATTGCCTGATGGCATTACCACAATGCATTCCAGGATTGCTTATCCTTTATCACCTCTTTTTGTATAGATGGGAAAACTGAGGCTTTAATGGATTCAGTGTCTTGCCCAGAGTGATGACCCAGAGTCATGGCTTCATGTCTCAATAAAATTGTTGAAATTTGTATTTTGAGTCACCTCCAAGTAAACCTAGATTTTACTTGCAGTAGCATGTTATCTTCACTTTGTTCTGGAATCATTCAAAGCCTCCCTCTTGAGATTTTACCTTCCCATAAAAGCTTCCAGCCCTTCAGAGCATGTGAGATAGGAATTTTGAGAAAAATGGTCACACTGAGATGTTAGTGGGCTTTCTCAGGATTCACTGGACAATAACAGAGGTGTACCCTGACTCTGTGGTTCTCAGAGTATGAGCTCCAGGGCAACAGCATCAGTATCATCTGGGAAATTGCAGAAGTGCAAATTCTTGGCAGAACTGGTTCCTTCCCTTCTTTTATATTTTTTCATATCTCAGCCCAAGTGCCATCTCTCTTGACCGGTCCATCTAAACCACTTTTCCCATGCCCCCTCCCCAGGCTCATCTCTTACCATCCTGTCACTGGGGTGCTTTCCTGCTCATTACACTTTCTGTCTTGGTCACTGTGATGGTGAATTTCAGGTGTCAGCTTGGCAAGGTTACGGTACCCAGTTACTTAATCAAACATCAATGTAGATGTTGTGGTGAAGGTATTCTGAAGTTATGGTTGACACCTACAATCAGTTGACTGATTGACTTAAATGTCAACCGATTATATGGTTTCCCTTCATAATATGGGTGGGCTTTGCTCAATCAGTTAAAAACCTTGCCAGCAAAACTGAAGTTTCCAGAGAAGAAAAAAATGCCCCCAGAATGTAGCATTAACTCCTGCCTGAGTTTCCACCTGCTGGCCTGCTCCACAAATTTCAGACTTGCCAACCTCTACTGTTGCAATAGCCAACCAATAAATATCATAAAGACATGAACAAAAGGCACAAGCTGGGGTGGAGGGTGGTCATACTGACTAAACCATATATCCCAAGGACAGTGCTGGAGGGTTTTATCTTTGCCCCAGGAGCAATGGGTTTCTAGAGAGATTTGGAGACAGGAATGGGAAAGGTATTTCTTATAAGTCTGAGTCACATGTTGCCTAACTCAGTCCTGGAAACTTGTGACTTTTTTTTCTGATTTTAGCACATTAAAATACGAACACTAATGTTTAGATTTCAAATAATTAGAATGTTATTTGATGGAAACATGGTATAAAGAGCACCCATTAAGAAAAATTTAAAAATATTATCTCCTGTTGTCTCAGTTTTTTTTTAAGTGTTTTTATATTTTAAAATATATCTTCTCTATAAAAATATAACTTCTAGAAGCTGGAATAATTTGAACAATAAAATAAAGTAACATTGTTTTTTAGCCCAAAGTCTAAAATAAATATCCATGGAGTTATACTAATATAAATAAATGATTCAATAAACAAATAAATGAGGGAGAATAGACAAATCTCCCATGCAGAGAATTCCAAATAATTGGTGTGCATACACAACCCTCAAAGAGGGGAAGCATAGCTCCCACTCCTCCTGCACAGTGTGACCTGTGCACAGCGACCTCCTTCGTGGAGTCCAGCATGGAAAGAGGGTAAGGCAGGACTTCACAGAGGAGAAACTAGACAAATACTACCCCAGCCAGTTGGCCAAGGTCAACGTTAGTTGTCGTAAATCATATTGATAGAATATTCCCTTGATATGAGGTAATAAGAATGGCATTTCACTCTGTGGTCTTTCTCTCAAAACACCTGCAATACCAAGCCAATCATGAGAAAAACATGAGACAAATCTCAATTGAGGTACATTCTACAAAATGCTTGGCCAGTATTCCTCGAAACATGCACACGTATGTTTATTGCAGCACTGCTTACAATAGTAAAGACTTCGAACCAACCCAAATGCCCGTTAACATCAGACTGGATAAAGAAAATGTGGCACATATACACCATGGAATACTATACAGCCATAAAAAAGGGTGAGTTCATGTCCTTTCCAGGGACATGGATGAAGCTGGAAACCATCATTCTCAGCAAACTGACACAAGAACAGAAAATCAAACACTATATGTTCTCACTAATAAGTGGGTATTGAACAATGAGAACACACGAACACAGGGAAGGGAACATCACACACCAAGGCCTGTCGGGGGGTGGGGGACCTCGGGGAGGGATAACAGGGCTTGGGGGGATTGGGGAGGAATAACATTAGGAGAAATACCTAATGTAGGAGACGGGGGGATGGATGCAGCAAATCACCATGGCACATGTATACCTATGTAACAAACCTTCATGTTCTGTACACGTATCCCAGAACTTAAAGTATAATAAAAAATAAAAATAAAAATAAAGAAAAACAGAAAAAAAAAACTGTCAAGGTCATCAAAAACATGGAAAATCTGAGAAACTCATGACAACAAAATGTAATGTGGCATTCTGGATGGGATACTGGAATAGAAAATGGACATTAGGTAGAAACTAAGGGAATTGGAATAAAGCATGAATTTAGTTAATAATACAGTATCAGTGTTGGTTCATTAATTGTAATATACCATACTAATGCCAAGATGTTGCTAATAGGGGAAACTGGGTGTGGGTTAGACAGGAAATTTCTACTGTCTTCCCAATTTAAATCTAAAATTGTTCTAAAATAAAAAGTGTATTTAAATACACATATTTTATGCAAAGTGAAGAATTAAATACGAAGTTATTTTCTAAATAGACACATACAGAGATTCTAGCACCACTCTGTATTAGACTATGAAATCAACCAATTTCAATTATTGTCTACACCCAGGGTTTATGAAGTGCTTGCAGCCATGGGAGATTTCCTCTGCCTGTCTTGTCCTGCACATACCAATGGCACTTAAGAACCTGGCTCCTTACAACAAATTGCGTACCCTTCTCCAGCTGGCAAAATAGCCAACATCTCCCCAGGAGAAGAAGAGAGAGACACAGGGCTGCTGCTGATCCCTCATGGGGTTCAATCTCCCCAAACTAAACCACCTTTACACAGAGATGCCATGTAAAGGTGGTTTGGTTTGGGGAACCAACTGGGGCTGGATTTCAGCCACCACTTGCCCCTCAACCCAGCACAAGTCGCTGTGAAAGTCATTGCAGTGTCCTTGGGGGATACAGGATAACGTGTGGTCTGCTGCTGGGTGATTATGAAGGCAATGGTGTTAGAGTGGTGAGGTCAGTCAGTGTTTCAATAAAACTCACCTAAACAGACCACTAAGTCAGACATTTCTGGTTCATTACAGTGTATTTCCAGTTTTAATGAGCAGATGTGGAGCATGGGAAAGAGCATGGATGTGGCAGAGGGATGCAAGGTGTATTTAACATTTCGGTTGCCTTTAATTTACACTTAACATTTTTCCACATTTGGTCAGCACTTAATTGTCCATTCACACATTCACTTCCTGTGTTTAAATGATTAGATTTCTGGAGGAGAGCCATAATACCAGGGTAGCTTGATTTATAGAAGGCAGCCAGAATAATGCGGAGTGTTGAAATGTTCACCTCCACACACATTCAAAGAGGTGCACACATTTCTGGAGGGAAATATGGAAGTAGGTATCAAGAATATTACATATACCATTCCTTTAATGTTTATCTTGAGGAATTAATCTAAGCTACATAGTAAGATAACAAACAGAGCTATCCATTGAAGCATCATTTACTGAAAACTTGAAAGCAAACTTAAAAAACCCAAACACTTGTTAAAGGGGAATGGGTTAAATAAATCTTTATCTATAATATTGAATTATAATACTATTCTTAAAAACAATTTCAAAATGGACTCACCATCTTATGTGAAGTGAGGAAATGAGATTATAAAAACATATACAATTCTTATTTATAATTTTTAACTTTGTTTCATATTTTTACATGAACATAAAATATTTTCATAAATAAAAAAGAACAACTCATAAATTTCTTCCTTTTTTTCATATCCCAAACAAGGATGGAGAATCAGATTCAAATTTCCAACTTGAACAGGTTGTTGATTGATATGTAGTCAACCAAAATTTGAAGTCTTCAATTTTGAAACTAAGGGTTTGAACTCAACAATCCAAGATTCCAATTTTCTAATTCCATGATTGACCTATCTAGAACCTACATTTCTCCACAGTTAATAAAGAACTTTGCCCATGTGCATCTCGTCCTTGGTTTTAGTTATTATTTCCTCAGTACTACTAACCTCTGCTTCATACACTTCTTCTTCAAAAAAGCAGAGTAACAATAAAATCAGTTATACCAGACACTCTAAAGAGCTGTGTGGTTCCGGCTGTAAATTTATTTTGTAAAACATAGCCTGTGCTGAAAGCAGTTTTTTTTGTTGTTTTTTTTTTTTTTTTTTTTTGCACAATACTTAAAAAAAAAATTGTCACTGTTCAGTAGAAAGATATTTTATTCTGCTCCATTAAATAAAATGTTAAGAGTCATTCTGACCTGCCTGGTATATAATTTGGGTGTGTAGCAGTTAGCAAATATCTTGCCCTCTTGGTGAAAATAGATGAAAATAGGAGAAAATAATGGAAACAGCAAAGCGGTGGGATGTAGGGGATCAAACATTCTGGATTGGGAGTCAGAACATCAGGGTTTTGGTCTCAGGTTCTCTCTTCTTAACTAGTTGTATAACCTTAGTGATATGGTTTGAATTTTTGTCTCCTCCAAAACTCATGTGGAAATGTAATTGCCATTGTAACAGTATTAAGAGGTGGGATCTGTGAGAAATGATTAGGCCATAAGGTCTCCACCCTGATAGATGGGACTCATGCAATAACAGAAGCACAAATTCAGCAACCTTTTACCTCTTGGCCCTTCTGCCTTCCACCATATAGACACATCCAGAAGGCCCTCGCCAAATGCCAGCACCTTGATATTGGACTTTCCAGCCTCCAGAATTGTGAGCCAACATATTTTTGTTCAATATAAATTACCCAGTCTCAAATATGCTGTTATAGTAGCACAAATGGACTAAGACACTTAAATAAATTAATCTCTCTGAGTCTCAGTTTTCTCATCTGTAAAATTAAGAAATTCTGTTAAAATAATCTTCAAGAATTCTTCCACTTATAAAATTTTACCTTGAAAGAAGTTTTAGAAGAATGCATAGTTTGAAAGCAAAAAAATAAAATAAAATAGTTTCATTCATGTTTGTGTTCTACAAAAAAGATGACAAAATCTCTATATTTGAAAGCCAATTATATTTAATAATTTTTGACTACATTTTGATTTAAAACTAATCAAAATGTTTGAGATGATGTTTAGCTGGAAACTTCTACAACACTATGATTACAGGGACAGTTTCAGTACTGGAGAGGGTTAAATGCTGAACTAGGGTAACAGGTTTGTGCCGTGATTTAGACACCAAATGCTCTCCTGAGAATGAGAAGAATCAACAGATGGAACTTCAGAAATCAGTGACATCAAATTTAAGCCTAACCCTAATTTGAATTCTTCCCAAGTCAGGGCTTCACCTTTTTGGGAGAAAGAAAACAAAAACTTGAAAGTCCAGCATTTTTCAACCATGGCTACTACCTTAGAATCATGAGAGGAGGTTTTAAATAATATTCATGCCCAGGTCCTACCCCATACCAAGGAAATCAGAATCTTAGGGGAGTCAGCCACAGGGGCTTTTTGAACTCTCCCGAGTAATTCTCTTGTGCTGTCAATTGAGAACCACTGAGTTAAATAAGAGAACATGACAAAAAGGAAGGAATGGGGACTGCCAAAGCAAAAGGGAAAATTTCTCTTTTTTTCTTTTCTTTTTTTTAAATTGTATTTTAAGTTCTGGGATAAATGTGCAGAACGTGCAGCTGTTACATAGGTATACATGTGCCATGGTAGTTTGCTGCACCCATCAAGCCATCATCTACATTAGATATTTTTCTTAATGCTATCCCTCCCTAGCCTCCCACCCCCTGAGAGGCTCCAGGGTGTGATGTTCCCCTCCCTGTGCCCAAATGTCCTCATTGTTCAACTCCCACTTATGAGTGAGAACATGCGGTGTTTGGTTTTCCATTCCTGTGTTAGTTTTCTGAGAATGATGGTTTCCAGCTTCATCCATGTTCCTGCAAATGACATAAACTCATTCTTTTTTATGGCTGCAGAGTATTCCATGGTGTATTTGTGTCACATTTTCTTTATCCAGTCTGACATTGATGGACATTTGGGTTGGTTCCAAGTCTTTACTATTGTGAATAGTGCTGCAGTAAACATACCTGTGCATATGTCTTTATATAGAATGATTTATAATCCTTTGGGTATATACCCAATAATAGGATTGCTGGGTCAAATGGTATTTCTAGCTCTAGATCCTTGAGGAATAACCACACTGTGTTCCACAATGGTTGAACCAATTTACACTCCCACCAACAGTGTAAAAGTGTTCCTATCTCTCCACATCCTCTCCAGCATCTGTTGTTTCCTGACTTTTTAATGATCGCCATTCTAACAGGCATGAGACGGTATCTCATTGTGGTTTTGATTTGCATTTTTCTAATGATCAGTGATGAAGAGCTTTTTTTCATGTTTGTTGGCTGCATAAATGTCTTCTTTTGCAAAGTGTCTGTTCATTTCCTTATAGAGAAAGGATTCCCTATTTAATAAATGGTGTTGGGAAAACTGGCTAGCCATATGCAGAAAACTCAAGCTGGACCACTTCCTTACAGCTTATACAAAAAATTAACTCAAGATGGAATAAAGATTTAAATATAAGACCTAAAACAATAAAAACCCTAGAAGAAAACCTAGGAAATACCATTCAGGACATAGGCATGGGGTTAAGACTTCGTGACTAAAACGCCAAAAGCAATGGCAACAAAAACCAAAATTGACAAATGGAATCTAATTAAACTAAAGAGCTTCTGCACAGCAAAAGAAACCATCATCAGAGTGAACAGGCAACCTACAGAATGAGAGAAAATGTTTGCAATCTAACCATCTGACAAAGGGCTACTACACAGAATCTACAAGGAACTTAAACAAATTTACAAGAAAAAAAAAACAGGCTTTCTTTAGCAATATACGATTGTAGCTCTATACTCTACACTGTGCACAAAACAAGGCCAAAGGTGCTTTCCCAGGAGAACTTGCATGACAGCAAAGACAAAGAAATATTTTTGCAAAAAAAAAAGTACCTTTTTAATCATGTAAACAAATTTTCACAAATCATAATCTCACAGTTGAGATTTAAAATCTCTCAGTTGTCAAGCATTAGTGGTTTCTTTCTTGTGATTTGAAAGTTGTAAATATGGCAGGCATGGTGGCTCACACCTGTAATCCCAGCACTTTGGGAGGCTGAGGTGGGCAGATTACTTGAGGTTAGGAGTTCAAGACTAGCCTGGCTAATGTGGCAAAACTCTGTCTCTACCCAAAATACAAAAATTACCCAGGTATGGTGGCGCACACCTATAATCCCAGCTTCTTGGGAGGCTGAGGCAGGGGAACTGCTAGAACCTGGGAGGCAGCGGTTGCAGTGAGCTGAGATTATGCCACTGCACTCCACCTAGGTGACATAGCGAGATACTGTCTCAAAAAAAAAAAAAAAAAAAAAAAAAAGTTGTAAGTATACATAACATAAAATGTGTGATTTTTAACCATTTCTAAGTATATGATTTAGTGGCATCAAGTACATTCCCAGTGTTGTGCAACTATCACCATTGTCCATTTCCAGAATTTTTCATCATCCCAAACAGAGATGTTGTACCTCTTGAACAATCACTCCCATCCTCCTTCCTTTCCACTTTTGGTCACCTCCATTCCACCTTTCTATCCCTGAGAATTTGCTTATTCTAGGTAGTTTATATAAGTGCAATCATACAACATTTGTCTTTTTAAAACAAAGAAATTAAGAACAAGGACTGTCATGATTTTCTGAGGAAAGTGAAAACTTCTTTTAAAAATCAGACCAGGAACCAATTGCGTCTTGGATAGCTAAGTGTCAACATGTAGATTTCCTGGTTTTGCAGATTCTGTTGTACATTTTAATTTTATTTATTTTTTTAGAGACAGAGCTTCATTCTTGTTGCCCAGACTGAAGTCCAGTGGCGCAATCTTAGCTCACTGCAACCTCTGCCTCCTGGATTCAATCAATTCTCCTGCCTCAGCCTCCCAAGTAGCTGGGATTACAGGCATGCAACATCATGCCCAGCTAATTTTGTATTTTTAGTAAAGACGGGGTTTCCCCTTGTTGGTCAGGCTGGTCTCGAGCTCCTGACCTCAGGTGATCCGCCTGCCTTAGCCTTTCAAAGAGCTAGGATTATAGGCATGAGCCATCATGCCTGGCCCTATTGCACATTTTAATCATGCATGGTCACCCACTTCCTATGAGGTCAGCATTCTGGCCTCTGATTCCCTATTGTGATTTCCAGTCCCCACGTGAACCTTCTTACATTAACTTTTTAACAACACCCCCCTCTGCATTAAATCACCAGCATTTTCCATATGTGTCCAGCAAAATACCTAACTCACCCCTTCTTCCAAATTTCCATTGCCTCAACCCTTACTTGAGACTGGATAAAAAAATAGAAAATAGGCCGGGGTGGTAGCTCATGTCTGTAATTCCAGCAGTTTAGGAGGCTGAGGCGGGTGGATCACTTGAGGTCAGGGGTTCAATACCAGCCTGGGCAACATGGTAAAACCCTATCTTTATTAAAAATACAAAAACTTAGCCAAGTGTGGTGGCAGGTACCTGTAATCCCAGCTACTTGGGAGGCTGAGGCAGGAGAATCGCTTGAACCTGGGAGGCAAATGTTGCAGTAATCCAAGATCGCGCCACTGCACTCCAGCCTGGGCAATAAAGCAAGATTCCATCTAAAACAGAAAAGAAAAGGCCTCAGAGTTGTACACGCCTTTCTCTGGCTTTTTATACTCAGAGCTAGCTTCCACACAAGTCTGGATCAACCTTTCTCGGATCCCATTCACATTCCCCAAAAATACCATTTTGTACTTTTTTACCTATCCCGTAAAACCTGAATGTCCGCCTGCCAGCCCATCACATCAGCTGCACTTATTTCTCCCTATAAAAAATACCTTCTCCAGCTAAACCAATCTGTGGCCAGTGTTTTTTTTTTGTTGTTGTTTTTTTGTTTTGTTTTGTTTTTGAGATGGAGTTTCTCTTTGTTGCCCAGGCTGGAGTGCAGTGGTGCAATCTTGGCTCACTGCAAGATCTGCCTCCCCAGTTCAAGCAATTTTTCTGTCTCAGCCTTCTGAGTAGCTGAGATTACAGGCACCTGCCACCACGCCTGGCTGATTTTCGTATTTTCAGTAGAAACAGGGTTTCACCATGTTGACCAGGCTGGTCTCGAACTCCTGACCTCAGATGATTCTCCCACCTTGGCCTCCCAAAGTGCTGGGATTACAGGCATGGGCCACCAAGCCCGGTCTCTGTGGCCAGTCTTCTGAATGCAACATTCTATTCCTGCCTCTGTGTGAGGACTCACTCAGCAGTGCTAATACCTTGGTAGTTAACAGCCACTAGTTGATAACCACTAGCACCCACAGCTCCATAGCTGGTTTGAGCTGCCAAGCACTCCTGTCAACCCTTGTCTGCTCACACTGAGGGCAGAGAACAGACAGACTCTGCTTTCATATCTCTGAAAAAATTGTTGGAAGAACCACTAGTCTTGCCCCACAAATCCCTCCTATCCTGAACTGAATTACTCGGTCTCCTTTCCCTAATATTTCAGCCTGTGGTTTTGGACTCCTGACAGCCTCTTTCCACCCAGGCACTATTTCCCCAGTCTCTTCACCACCCACTTACATTCTCCAGGCCTCCAACCGATGTTTCTGACTCCTGCTTTCAGGCCCCTCTGACCCAGCCTCTTTCCTCCAGCTTGTTTTACCTGTTCTTCCTGCCTCCAAAGTCCTGAACCTTTTTACTCACTACAAAAATTGCCCACCTGTTTCCTATACTCTTCTCTTTGCCTCCTTTCAGGGATTTAAGGTCCGCTCACGTTCATTCTTACGTGTAACTGACTTCCTGACCATAAGCCTTGCTATTCATATCCTAAAATTCAGCACCTCTTCTGGTTAAACCAGACCCCTGGGCCTGACTTCTCTTGCCCTGCCCAGTTCTGGTGCCATCTGAGACCTAACACAGCAGGCCTTGAGCAACATCTTCTGTAGATTTGCTTCTCTTTGCCCACTGCTCTAGGCTGTAACCTCTAGGACTGTTTTAACGTGCTAGTACAGGTAGAGTATCCCTAATCCAAAACTCCAAAATTCAAAATGCTTCAAAATCCAAAATTTTTTGAGGGCCAACAGGACACTGAAAGGAAATGCTCACTGAAACACTTCAGATTTTGGATTTTCAGATTAGGGATGCTGAGCGGGTATCATGAAAATATTTCAAAATATGAAATAATCCTGAAGCCAAAACAATCTAGTCCCAAGCATTTTGGATAAGGGATACTTATCCAAAATGGATACTCAACTTGTATTGCTCTCCATCATTGAGCTCTTCTGTTCTTTTCGGTACTTCCTCTTCACGGGACAGACTATATTTTCCTTTTAGCATCTACTTTGTGTCCTGGTTCCTTCTTTCACCTCTCCTGCCACTTCAGTCCTTGCCCAGAGAACAGTCATGCAAATAAATTTTGAAGTTTGATCTTTCCCCAAATCAAAGCACTATATTGGACTAGACATTAGCTCAAGATCCACTTCAATTCATTATCTTCTTACGGTAAGATTAGAGATAAGTCAAACAAAATTATATTAAAAATGAAATTGGAGAAACCCAGTGAAAAGCAGTTTGAATGTATAGTTCTTTCTTTATAGTTATTTACATAATGGTGTCATAGTTGTTTCTTTAATGTACAGTTATGTACGGTTATTTCTTTAATGGTGACTTCGAGCCCCAAGTTTTTTCTACATACCTAATCAGCTAATTCTATTAATGTACCAATAAAGATCTAGAAAGATTTGGGCTTCTTTCATTTTAATCCTACAAATGTTCAACACCATGGATGAAGGATACTTTTCCTAAATATAGACTATCTACATTGGTCATCTCTAACTACTGGCATCGTCCTAGACTCCTACAGTTGGAAGTTGGTCAAAACAATAACCCAGCCCTACCAATACTGTGCAAAGGCCAAGGTAAGACTCTGTCACAAGCTGCTTACATCTTTCAGGATTGAAGGAAGACCAAACGTAGCGCCACTACCCATCCATGACTAATTAGTCCCCAGTGATCCAGAAATTGTTACCTATTCTTGGCATATGATGCCTTGTTCAGGAACAGAAAAGTTCAAACAACATAACTTAACTTCAAACAAAATGTCAAAGTTATTCATTACCACAAAACAACCATTTGTTCCCCCACTCCGAAACTTCATTGTCTTCTGTGATATGCTATACTTCACCAAATGGAACCTTTCAATGTGACCAAAGCAAGCTTTTGAAAGTAGAACAAGTGAGATGGAGCGGCATTCCCCATCTTTGGTTGCTAGTACCTTTTACAAATAGTGAAATTGTTTTAGTCCAAATTTATTGTAAGGTAAGTCAAAACTGACCAAATCCTTCCAGAAGCCCTCTGTAACTCCCAAATGGCAATGTTCTGTACAATAGCCCTGTTTAATCTAACTTCTTCCAACTTTACAGATACTTAATTGAACACATACT